GAGAAAAAAAAAGACCCTAAATTCTAATCAGAAAATATTGAGAATATCAATAGAAATCTATTCAATCGAATAAAAGACGCCGCTCAAATATGCCGCCGCTCATCGATACAGAGGCCATAGAGAAATCGATCGAATAAAAAGAATTTCTAAGAGATTTTATAGAAATTAAAAGATATTGATATATCAAAATTCATATTGTTTAGAATAAAAAGACCGTCTCTAAAGATTCTATTCTTCTAGCTATCTTAATTCAACCTTTCGGCATAAGGGCCCTCGGAAAATTAAGATTGTCACGTTCTGACCAACAGAAACCAAATCAAACTCACAGCATAAAACCTGCAAGCACGCAATGACATCTTGTGGGTTGGCTCACTTGCAAGCGCGAACCCGAACCGCGAAGCAGAAGCAGTGAATTCTGTTGAATCCATGACCCTTGACCTTACCCCACTTTCAACCCTGAGACCCTCAACTCGAAAACGCGAACCGAAGCCAGGACACCCCAACGCTCTTTTACTCACTTTGATTTCATAGCTTTCTTGGGTCGAATTCGCTTGCTGAAATATCATCGCATTGCCATGCGTTGAACCTTGACGAGGCCGCGGTGGACGCCACCGAACTTGCGACCAAGTCTCCATTACCGGGAGTTGGCGTGTCATGCCACACTCACGCGGCATTGTGACAGATGCCTCACATCCGATGGGCCACCGTCCGAACCATCGGAAGAAGCTCTGCCACGCTCTGCCCAGGGCCCCATCGTTTCAGCCCCAGCTGCACACAGATCCCCCTGCTTGCATGGCACCGACTGCAATTTCGCAAGTGCTCATGATGGATTCCACGAGGGTTGGCTTCGCATGGGATGAGCTTAGAAACATGCCTATGGTTGAGGCTCCCTTCTCGGCTCCAATCTGGGCCACATCTTTTTCGGAAAAGCCAGGCCTGTAGCATTCACAGGCCTTGCATTGGGGCGTGCTTTCATCCCAACACGAGGAGCTGGTGAGGCAATTCCACTTGCCATAATCCAAGTTCGCGAAGCCAGTAAAGCTGTTTTCTGGAGGCAGCACCTTGCTTTCATCGCCGCAGCCGAAAACCACTGACCCAGGCGTGCCTATTCCAGCCTATTCCCGTGCCGCTTGAGCTAGCACCCCCGAAATCAAAGCCAGTCGGCTTCACCGACTCGGGAAAAATCCCAGAAGCGAGGATGATCTTGCATGCATCATCGGCCGAAGCCTGCATGTCATCTGCGAGTTCCTTCTCCGTGGCTCTCCTCTTCATCGGCGCCCAGGCAGGATCGCCACCGACCCCCGGGGCACTTGCACCAACGGGTGCAGCTCTATCCTGGCTGAGCGTGCTGTCCTCGCAGCCAAACGCTAGCTCCACGTTGTGCTGAGCTCCCCCATCTGCCACAATCACGAAGGGCTTCTGCAGCTGCTTCGAAGACACCTGGTAGGGCCTGAACTCATCTGCGGCCTCCACATCTGCATCGGTAGCGCTTGAGACGTCCCATGGCCGGTTTGCCAGCTGATGCATCAAGCCACAACCCCACACAAACAGGTCTCCGCCCTCCATGTGAGCCAACATGTGATGGCCTCCGTCACGCCCCTGAACTTCTCGAAGCTGCAACACCAGAGAGTCCTGCAACAATGCAGCGGAATGCTGTCTTATTCAAACTAGTCCTGAACCATCCCACATCCGGCATGCAATTTCCTAAACCGGCTGCTCGGAAACTACTAAGATCAAGAAGATAAACCAAAAGAGCTGAAGCAGATCAACGACAATACAAGGCTCGCATTGCCTTCTCCCCCGAAGCAATGCTGCATTCCTGTGCCTTGCCCCAAGTGAGCACGCTTCCATCCACCAGCGCTGCAGTGCAGTGCAGTCCACCACCTATCCAGGAAGCGGGCACTGCCTGAAGCTGATGCACTGCCATGCCAACAAACCCAGGTCCAACCTGACCATCGCCGTCCAACCAACAACCAACAAAGGCACCGTCCTCGAAGTTTATGAAGCTGTAGCACTCGACTGTGGAAGCAACATGCTCCCCAGCACCAACTTCCAGCGGTATGTGCTGTGGCTGTAACAGTTGTTGCTTCTCTAACTTCGGGACCTGCCGCTTTGCAGCCTGCAGAACCGGGGGGGTTGCACGTTGCACCGCGGCATGCTGGACATGCTCGGTAGTCATGGAACTAGCAACATGCACAAAGCCATCAGCTCGATGACTGCATCCGACCTGGTCACCGGCGATTTCGCAGCTGCCGCCTTCAAGCCGTGCCAGGCCGGCAACTCGGCCCCAGCACCACAACAAGGTGAGCAGGAAATGGATGATGTCCATGTTCAAGACTGCGTTGAAGTGAAGGCCGGCCGTGAGGGAACCGATGTTCTTAGCGATCATGCGGTTCAGGTTGGTCAGGTTCATCCCGATCCGAATCTGCCTGTCCTTATCATGATATGACCCTAACAACTCCCTATTCTTGCATGCTGAACTTTGAAGCTGCATGCGCCTGTGGCAAACACTGGCAGTTTAGCAACAAACTACCGGGTCACCTGGGCGGAGGCCGCACTCCGCGTCGTGCCAGGCGAGCACCGGGTCTCAGTTCGCGGTTTGGATTGACATTTCCAGCGAATTGAACATCAAACAGAACAGTAAATCATGATCGTGTGTGCACGTGCAGGTGTGCGCACGTGGTGTGCGTGTGTGTGTGTGTGTGTGTTTATTTGATTGTTTGTTTAGTTGTGTCTTTGCTTAGTTGTCCTTTTTAATTGTTTGGTTGCTTGCCCGGTTGTTTTAGTTGGTTGGTTGCTTGCTTCTCTATGTATTTCAGTCGATATCTATGTTTGTCTTTATGTCGCGCTTTCTTTCGGTATTTCTTTGTGCTTGTTTGTGAGATTGTATGTACGTTTGTTTGTTTGTCTTTTGATTTGAGGCTTGAGTGTTTGTTTGTTTGCTTGATTGTTTGGTTGGTTGTGTTTGCTTGGTTTGGTGTGCTTGTTTGTCCGCTCGTTTGCTGCTGTTTATAATCTTTTGTTTGTTTGATTGTTTATTCGCTTGCTTGCTTGCGTGCTTGTTTGTTTGTTGGTTTGTTTGCTTGTTTGTGTGTTTGTGTGTGTGTGTGTGTGTCTGTCTGCTTGTGTTGGTGCGTTTGGTTGTTTGCTTGCTTGTTTGCTTGCGTGCTGGTTGTTGATTTGTTTGCTTGTTTGTTTGTTGGTGTGCTTGTGTGCTTGTGTGCGTGTTTGTGTATTTGTTGTGCGTGTGTGTGTGTGTGTTTCTGTTTGTTTGCTTGTTTGTTTGTTTGTCTGCATGTTTGTTTGTGTGTTGTCGGTTTGATTGCTTGCTTGTATATTTGTTAATTTGCTTGTTTGTTTGTGTGTGTTTGCGTTTGTTTGCTTGCTTGCTTATTTGTGTGTATGTGCGCATGTTTGTTTGTTTGCCTGTTTGTTGGTGTGCTTGTTTGGTTGTTCGGCTGGTTGGCTGTTTTTTTGTTTGATTGGCTGGTTGCATGCATGTTTTTGTTGCTTGCTGTGTTTGCTTGTGTGTCTGTGTCTTTGTTTGTTTGTGTTCGCGTGTCTTTGTTCGTGTGCTTTTGTGTATTTGTGTGTTTCCATTTTTCTTTCTTTATTTCTTTCTGTCTTTGCTTCGTTGTTTCTGTATTTTGTTGTTGCGCTTCTTGTTGTTCCTGTGTTTCTTGCCTTCTTTGTGTTTTTGGTTGCTGTTTCTTCGGCTCTTTGCTTCTTTGTTTCTTTGCGGCCGTGTTTCGTTGCTTGGTTGCTTCATTTTTTGTTTGGTTGTTCGTTTGTTCGTTTGTTTGTTTACTTACGTACTTGCGTCCTTGCTTGTTTGCTGGTTTGTGTGTTTGTTTGCTTGCTCGTTTGCTTGTTTGGCTGAATGTTTCTTTGCCTTGTTTGTTTGTGTGTCTGTCTGTTTGTTTGTGTCTTGGTTTTGTGTGTTTGCTCGTTTGTGTGTTTGTGTGCTTGCCTGTTTGTGTTTGTTTTGCTTGTTTTTGTTTGTTTTTTGTTTGCTTGTTTGTCTTTTTTTTTACTTTTTTGCGTGTCTCTGCGTGTGTGTGTGTGTGTCCCGATGTGTCTGTGTGTGTGTGTGTGTCTCTGTGCCTGTGTGTCCGTGTGTGTGTGTGCATCGGGGAAATCGGCTCAAGTTGTTGGAAACATGAAGCTAAGTGCATGGCTTTCGGGGTCGATCAAGCACCGCCAAAGCAACCAGGACACGAAGTTCCTCACACGATGACGACTGCTCATGGCATGCGTCTAAGCGATCTCAAGAGTTCAAAATAAGGCTCCGGCCTGCAAGACTCGCAAAGGGATGAGGAGGCATCCATAGTGTATGTATGACACCAGCTGAGTACGAATGTGCATGGTTTCATGGCTGATGGCTTGTACATGGCTTTCGCTTGAAACACCATGCTCCGCACTCCGCATGCTCTCTTTCTGCTGAATCCAGCGGCCAAGCGGACAAAGACACACAGAACACATGTGCCTGCAACTGCGCGTGCAAGTACCTGCATCCACACCTGCATTTACACCTCAGCGCCCTCGGCACAGCTGGTCAACCAATGCATTGCGATAAAAGAAATCCGCAAAATCTGACTATTGGCAACGGTTGCAGACGATGCATGCATCATGGTTGGGCATCTTGCGAGGAAACCAGATTGATCCGGGCGGTTTCTCACTCTTCTTTCGCCAGGGCTTTGGCGGGGAGTTGCCCTCTCTTTCTCTTTCTCTGTCTCTCTCTCTCTCTCTCTCTCTTTCTCTCTGTCTCTCTGTCTCTGTCACTTGTGCCAGGTGCCACGATACACAGTTCCCAGCACTCTAGAATGATAAGCCAAACATATCGTGCAGGGTGCGGGGGAAGCCCCAGATCCCAGAGCTCTTCCCCAAACTATCCGGATGAGCGGGCCATCTTTTCCAAGGGATCTTTGTCCCGTCTGTGGACGTCGCTTTTCACGACCGGAGCATTCAGCTCCCGCATGGGCTTGTGTGCTTATCAAACGTCACGCTGAGCTGCTGCAGTCCACCTTCGGAGACACATTGACGGTGAAGCGGCCTCGCAGATCGTTCACGGCAATGCCATTACATCATGGTCGGACAGGATTGTGGTAAGCTGTGATAGGTCTTGAGGGTACTTGGCTTGGCGCAGCAGTGATCAGCCATTATCCCGAAGCCATGTCAAGACTAGTCAACGGATCTGAGCAAGGATCTAATGCGTAGAGGCCTGAATACTTAAGCTGCTTTTCTGGTGCTCTATGCCATTTAACTGTGTAAGGGAATGCCCCACGAAATCGTACTACTAACTATTGTTGCAGGCTTCTAACTATCTGACTAACTATCTATCTATCTACCGAAATTAAGTTTTGGTCGACCCTGACTGCAAACCCCTCATTCCACATGCGCCAGGACACAGTAAAGCTCACCCCCAGGAACACCGCAAGGGCCATCCAGCGAAATCGGGGAAGGTGCCAGGTTCGCGGAGGCAAATGCCCGGCAGAGGTCGTACCTCGTCTTAGACAGGGATGCATGCATGCGTGCATGCGGTTTGCTTTCTGCAGCATTAACATGTAGGTGGCAACACTTCAAGACTTGCCGCAAGCCGGAACCCTTCAAAGTTCAGAGCATCCCCAGACTTCAGAGTAGCACTGTTAACTGTAGCAAGGATGCTCCTTTTTGGGCAAAGTCGTCTAGCATGACTTTGGCGACCTCGCCTGTCTCCTCAAGCATGCAACAGTGACAGCGGCCCTACACACTTTGTAGCCTAAGCCCATGAAGCCCGGCATATAACCTTGAGTCATGACGTACATGTCAAACACGGGAGGCGTCCCCTTCAAGGTACATCCGCTCCCTCAAGACGTTGAGTGCTAAGTAGGTCAGGCAGAGCAACAGGACTTGTAGCCAAGAACGAGCGCATGGCATAAAACACATGCGCACCACACGCATCCACACAGTGAAAACTCTCAGCCCTGCACCTCGAAAGCCCTCCCACTGAAAGCACCATATCCCGAATCGCTACCCCGAGGAATCAACGCTCCAAACCAGAACCCCCCCGCCTTAAAAATAAACAACAACACCTCTTCACTGCAGACCTTCCGGGAACTACACTGGATAGTGTTCTAAAGTCAGGCTTCCTCTAGGGATATTGCAACGGCTGCTCTAGATTAGGGTTCCCTCTTTCAGGGAATTGGCGGGGGGAGCCATAGTTGCTGGAGGGTTTTTCGACGCTTAACTGGATGGTATACCTATGGGCCTAGAATAGCTTTCCCCTTCAGGTATGCTGCTTCAGAGCTTTACGGGTTGATTTCTCAGGCTCTCTCGGGCAGGTAGGTGGCCTGCAAGTAGAGAAAGGCCCTCAGAGGAGCCATGATTCAGTGTGCCTTGACCAACACAAACATCCGTAGACACCAAGACCTACATGAACCCAGAAACTTTTGGATTCCCCTTAAATGCAACTTTGTCGGTTCCTCCTCGAGGAAAGCCGTGCCGATGAAACCGCGGCCCAAAACCCGTAGACCGGTACGGCAAAGGATTCTTGGCAATCAGGGGTGGGTGTAGGGAGAAGTTCTGGAGAAGGGGCGCTTAGAGTTTATGGCCTGGGATCATTCAGAGTTTTACGTTTTGGGTTTTCGGAGATATTAGTAGCGTGCGCGGAACGAGAGTTTCGCACGATGTCGGACACCAGTACGTGGTTTCAATCAGAGTCTGTTCAGCTACAGTGAAGCTTCTGATCCCAGTTCTTACAATCTGGCTGTGCTTGGGTCTGAGATATACGTAACACTCAGCCTGCTCAATTCATCCTTGGCCTGTGCAGCCAAACCCGCACCGCAGTGCCATGGTAGAATGCACCCCGCTGGCCGGGGTACAACCCGAGTTACCCCTGGTACCAATCGCTCACTCATATACTGAAAAAACAAAGCAACAGCACCCTACATAAAGGCCTCATGTTCGTATTTGCATATGTTTCTATCATTTTCTATCTATACTTCTACCTTGACTTAGGCATGTATTACCATCTATTCGCGTGAATTGTACTTCAAGTAAACACTGTATCGTGCAACACTGACAGCGCTACCTAAACCGTTGTATCAAAACCCACACACACACACACACCCATCCACCCATCCACCCATTTACCCATCCACACACACTCACACACACCCACAACACTCCTACCCCCACCCCCCACACCCCCACACCCAGCACCCACACACCCACACACCCACACGCACACACAGCTACCTACCTCAAACTACGAAGATTATGACTATGCGCAAGGTAGAACACCAATCTGCTGGAGGCAAAGCAGCGAGGAAGGTGACAGCGCCGCCACGGCACGTACCGGATCGAAAGCGTGCTCCTCCATCCGCTATGGATATATTAGGCTTCAGGTTTAGGGTATAGGTGATTCCTGCTAGCTTTCTACTGCGGCTCTTTGTTCGGTGTTGAAGTTGGTGTTCAGTCCCTTCTGGCCTGCATTGTCCAGGGCTAAACAGCGAAAGTTATGGAGCGCATGCCCCTTATACCGGCTGTAACGCCGAGGTCTATGAGGCCTTTATGTGCTAAGGCTCGCAGGGTATGCATCGGGTTGTGGCCATGGACGGGTTTCTCAAAGACTCTCCATGCCAGCGACCTTAATGAATGGAAATCTAAAAAGGTTGCAAAAACACCCTGTTGCACAAAAGCTGCATACGAAGGCTGAATGTTCCACAATATGCCGAAGCTTCCCCGTCGTGGCCCCAGTAGAGGCCCCGGCCACTCTTGTCCGCAGTTTGCCAAAAAGGGCCTCAGATGTCCTGAGCAACAGCAGCAGCAGGAGTTCCCGGCTGTTGGGGCAACAGCTTTTCTAGCAAGGCCGCTTGCCTCAGATCCTCAGCTCGTCCGTGTCCACCGATGATGTCGTGCAGCAGAACAACTCGCTGATGGCCTGCCAAGCAAACGGAGGTGTTGCAACAAGCAGACGAATTAAACCGGCAGTTGAGGTCGCGGCTTGAAAAAAACCAAGAGCCTGTCTGCGCTGCCACGCGGCCTGCCACTGGCAACATCAGATCAAGACAGGGTCCCGAGCCCGCGACGCATGGTCCGCTTTGGCCTTGTTGTGCGCGCTCTGCACCAGGCTTATCACGAAGTCGTTCTCCGCCGCCCGCCTCCTCTCCTGCACAGAGATCAAGAGTACCCCCGTCGAACAGGGCATACAATGGGCATTCGGACTCTGGCCTGGGAACTGCTCCCCCAGCCGACCGGGACAGCGTGAACCGAAAAGTCCACCCAAGCACGGTACTGAGGCATCAGAGGGATCCACATCCTGCATCAACAACGTTGCAAAAGCACAACACCTTCGGCGTGACCAAGTCGAAGCTCCTGGAGTCTCGTGATGCCGAGGTGAGGCCGGCCGGTCTTGGCGGGCTGCCCGACGCTTCCCTCGTCTTGAACCACAGATTCAGATCTGCATCACGATCCATAGCACGATGTCGATGGGCTTGCGAGAATTTGCAGGCAGCGGCAGGCACTGCGCGCATGCTTGCATATCTGCAAGCGCATTAGTACGAGACGCATACACTGGCATACAAGCTCGACCACGACGCTTTGCGCCTGTCAACAAAATCAGGATCACATGGGAATGGGCGATCCACAAACTTGCAAAGACCTGATTGCAGCAGGAGTTGGGCTCTGTGTGTGTGTGCCGGGCCCCATCACAGCAACTCTGGAGGCCCCTCCAGCACTTGGCAAAAATCTCGACAATTCTTGGACCCAGAAGCGGGCTTATGGACGGCACAGAAAATTTGAACGGCAACTTGCCAAGCCTTCCCGAAATCTTGGAAGGAAACCGCAA